GAGAGGTGGCATGCCGCAAAGAGGGGGCTGCAGGGTTTTTTAAAATTGTCCTTGTTTAAACTTTTAAGGGGTTCTGGGAGGGGGGAGGGGGGTGGGATTGGAATTAGGATTGTGGGTTTGGGGGATAACCCACTAGGGGGAGAGTCGGGCTTGGCCAGGACGTTCGGCGGGGGTGGTGGGGGATCCGGAGGGGGTCGAGCTGGTCCAGACTATGCTTTCACCATCGGTACTGTGTGTGGGAGGGGTAGATATGGCGGGAGCAGGGGGCCATATCATGTTAAGGGAGCACGCACCCGCTGTCTTCAAGCAGTAGAGTGCTCCAGCCCCCAAGGCTCCACCCGTTCTCCAGGTAGTACAGACCTTCAGGGCCCGGGCCTTCGTCTGATGTTGTGCAACGCCAGGTCTGTAGTAAATAAAGCCCCCCTCATCTGTGATCTTGTTTACGAGGGGGGAGCGGACCTGGCGGGTATTACGGAGACCTGGTTGGGCCCAGAGGGAGGGGTCCCTCTGGTAGAAATGTGCCCACCAGGTTTCCACGCATTCCATCAGCCAAGGTCACAGGGGAGGGGCGGGGGAGTAGCGGTTATTATTAGAGAAGGCCTTAGGCCGAGGGAGACCACTGTACCTCAGACAGCTGGTTGTGAGTCCCTCCTTGTGAAGTGGGGCCACGGGGTTCAGATGGGTTTGCTGATCACGTACCTGGCTCCCTGCCACGTGGCGGCAGCCCTGCCCGAGCTACTCAACGTTATTGCCGCGGTGGCGGTTGATACCCCCAGACTTATGGTCATGGGGGATTTCAACCTGCCATCCGTGGGTGAGGCGTCTGAGGTGGCTCGGGAGTTCATGGCTTCCATGACGGCCATGGACCTGACCCAATTAATTCATGGCCCTACGCACACTGGGGGAAACACACTGGACTTGGTTTTTGTCTCTGGACAGTGGTTGAGTGATCTCGAGATAGGGGATATAGTCATCGAGCCCTTGTCATGGTCAGATCACTCGCTCCTTCGCCTTGACCTTTGAACCGCAGCACCCCGCCGCAGGGAGGCGGAACCGGTAAGATGGTACCGCCCCAGGCGCCTGATGGAACCTGATAGGTTCCAGATGGAGCTTGGGCCAATCCCGGAGGTTCTGGCTCACGCCTCATCTGGGGACCTAGTGGCCGCCTGGGATAGGGCGGCTGCTGGAGCCCTGGATCGAGTCGTGCCTTTGCGGCCTCTGACCCGGCGCCGATCTCGCCTGGCTCCTTGGTTCACCGAGGAGCTGAGGGAGATGAAGCGCCGGAAAAGACGCCTAGAGAGCTGTTGGAGGGCTAGTTTTTCTGAATCTGACCGAACACTGGTAAGATCCCATATTAGGAGTTACCTAGTGGCGATAAAAGCAGCAAAATGTACTCATTTTGCTGCTCTTATTGCGTCATCAGATAATTGCCCGGCCACCCTGTTTAGAGTGACCCGCTCCCTGCTCCACCAGGAAGCGCGGGAGGACCCCTTGGAGGGAAGAGCCGAGGATTTTGTTCAGTATCTGTATGACAAAATCACTCAGATTCGGGCAGGTCTGGACTCTGACGGGATAGATCCAGCGAGGGTGACGGAGACAGGTCTTGAGACTGTTATCTGGGATGAGTTTGATCCTGTGACCCCAGATGACGTGGACAGGATTCTGGGTAGATTGAACGCGACCACATGTTTGTTGGACCCGTGTCCCTCCTGGTTAGTTCTGGCTTCCCGGGAGGTGACGCGAGGCTGGCTCCAGGGGATTATAAATGCTTCGTTGGGTGAGGGTGTCTTTCCCGCCGCCTTGAAAGAGGCGGTGGTAAGGCCTCTCCTCAAGAAGCCTTCCCTGGACCCGGCAGTATTGGCTAATTATCGTCCAGTCTCCAACCTTTGCTTCGTTGCGAAGGTTGTTGAGAGTGTGGTTGCGCGACAGCTACCCCAGTACCTGGATGAAACGTCGTATCTAGATCCGTTCCAGTCGGGCTTCAGGCCTGGGTACAGCACGGAAACGGCATTGGTCGCGTTGGTTGATGATCTCTGGAGGGCTCGGGACAGGGATTGTTCCTCTGTCCTGGTCCTGTTAGACCTCTCAGCGGCTTTTGATACCATCGACCATGGTATCATGCTGCACCGGCTGGAAGGGTTGGGGGTGGGAGGCACCGTTTTACGGTGGTTCTCCTCCTTTCTCTCTGACCGGTCGCAGTCTGTGTTGACAGGGGGGCAGAGATCGACCCCGAGGCCCCTTATATGTGGGGTGCCGCAGGGATCGGTTCTCTCGCCCCTTCTGTTCAACATTTATGTAAAGCCGCTGGGCGAGATCATCCGTGGTTTCGGGGTGAAGTACCATCTGTACGCTGATGACACCCAGCTGTACATCTCCACCCCGGACCACCCCAACGATGCCCTTGAAGTGATGTCCCAGTGCCTGGAGGCCGTACGGATCTGGATGGGGAGAAACGGGCTCAGGCTCAACCCATCCAAGACCGAGTGGCTGTGGTTTCCGACGTCCCGATATAGTCAGCTGGCGCCATCGCTGGCTATTGGGGGCGAATCATTGGCCCCCACGGAAAGGGCTCGTAACTTGGGCGTCCTCCTGGACTCACGGCTGTCTTTAGAAGAGCACCTGACGGCCGTGACCGGGAGGATTTTTCATCAGGTTCGCCTGATTCGCCAATTGCGTCCCTTTCTAGATCGGGACTCGTTACGCACAGTCACTCATGCCCTCGTCACCTCTCGTCTGGACTATTGTAATGCTCTCTACATGGGGCTCCCCTTGAGGTGCACCCGGAGGCTCCAACTGGCGCAGAGTGCGGCCGCGCGGGTGGTTATGGGAGCAACATGGAGCTCCCATGTAACACCTCTCCTGCGCGAGCTGCACTGGCTCCCGGTGGTCTTCCGGGTGCGCTTCAAGGTTTTGGTTACCACCTTTAAAGCGCTCCATGGCTTGGGACCTGGTTACTTACGGGACCGCCTACTACCATCAACAACCTCCCACCGACCAGTACGCTCCCACAGAGAGGGGCTCCTCCAGGTGCCGTCGGCCAAACAATGTCGGCTGTCGGCCCCTAGGGGGAGAGCCTTCTCTGTGGGGGCACCGACGATCTGGAATGAGCTCCCCCCAGAGATACGGAGGATTCCGGATCTGCGCACCTTCCGCCGCGAGTTGAAGACGTTTTTATTTCATCAAGCTGGCCTCGCCTAAATCTTCTCCCTTTTAAGTGTAAATTCTAAATTTTTAATGGATTTTAAAATATGGGTATTTTAAATTATGGGTATTAATTCAGCCAAATTTATTTAATTCATTTTATTCGATTTTAAATTTTGTATATCTATGTGTTTTATTTCATGGCTGTGCACCGCCCTGAGTCCTTCGGGAGTAGGGCGGTATAGAAATTCAATAATAAATAAATAAATAAATAAATATGATGTCAGTTTGCTAAATGAAGCTAGATCTTGTTTATAAGTCAGGAAAATTATTGCTACCACTAATCCCAATGTATACACCGGGTGTCAGCAACCCGTGGCTCCAGACCCGCATGCGGCTCTTTCGTCCCCCTGCTGTGGCTCCCTGTCGGCTGAACCCACCACTGGCTGGCCCTGCCCCTCACCCTCCCCTCCAAGTCACTCCTCGCCTGGCCTGAGAAGATAAGGGTGATGGCGAGGGATGGAGAGCGCCATATTCCAGAGCAGGCATGAAGCATCCCTGTACTTGCTGGGTCTCACGGGCACTTCTTCTGGCCCTTGTTGGTGCTCCATGCACCTCGGTTGCTCAGGGACACACACAACTTGCTCTCCGCCCTAGAAACTGGCCCCGCTGTGGCTAACGCCACTGCTCTCGCCTCCATGGCCTGCCTGCTGCTCTTGCAACGCCTTGTGCACCACAGTTAAATTTAGTGCGCTTCACAATGGGGGAGATGGTGTCCACTCCTCCTCCTGGAGCACATTATGATGCGGAGCATCGGCTGCAGCCAGGCCAGGCCAGTCTCTCGGGGCGGAGAGCAAGTCACGAGTCTCCCTGGGCGACTGAGGTGCTCGCAGCACCAGCAAGGGCCAGAAGAAGCATTCGCGAGATGAGGCAAGTACAGGGGCACTTCGCTCCTGCTCTGGAATATGGAGCAAGTCTCCATCCCCCACCATCGCCCTTACCTTCTCAGGCCAGGCAAGGAGTGACTGGGAGGTGAGGGCGAGGGGCGGGGCCAGCCAGTGGTGGGTTCAGCTGACAGGGAGCTACAGCAGGGGGACGAAAGAGTTTCATTTATCTGGGAACCTGAAATGATTCTTAATTTAAATCATATGGTAAAAAGCACCCAAAGAACAATATCAGCAAAAAACCCCACCAACCCTTGCCTGTTTTTGGAAATGGTTCAAGAGGGAACACACACACACACACAAGAGAGAGAGAGAGATGGAGAGAGAGAGACAGAGAGAGAGAGGGAGAGGGAGAGATGAGAGAGAGACGGAGAGAGATGAGAGAGAGAGAGAGAGAGAGAGATACCTGTTTCCCACAGAAAAGAAGACATGGGGATCCACAAAACCTGAGTAGGCGTGGCTGGGGGGTGTCATGTGACTGGATGGGAATGAGTGATGTTGAGTTGGCCATGCCCACCCAGGTTTTGTAGCTCCCGGTGTTTTCTATGGGAAACTGGTCCAAATGGCTCTTTGAGTGTTTAAGGTTGCAAACCCCTGATATAAACCATTGTGCACAACGAAAGGTACCAGTATGCTTATTTTGCAAAGGAAGAAACAACTAAGGCCTCTGCCTGTAAAAAAACTAATCTTCTTAGTGGATATAAGATGTTCTTTGGTGTACTGGAGAAGAATAAAAATCTATAGAGAAAAGGAGTAGTATAGAGTGGCAAAACTGGAATATGAACATTCCACATTGCAGCATTTTGCTAAATATTCCATTTGTTTATTATTAATGTGTATTACTGTAACCTAATATACATGAAGCTATACATTTTCTGATTATTTTCTACTTTTTACTGCTCTAATTATTTTTAGGTGTGTGGCCTGGCAAAGATAGATAATGGACCTCATATCAAGAATTGTCCATATATAGGAGGTCCAATCTTATATTTATGGTGTAATGAATATACCATTGCACCAAATCTCTGTAATTCCAGCTCGAGATATTACTTTTTCCAGAGTTTCTAAGAAGAAAGCCAAGAGGAAAGAACAGGTATGGTAATTTCTTTCTCCAATTAGGAAGCACAGCTTTATCTGAAGAGAATTGGAGAAGCATAACTTTTTGATCAAAGTTTCCATATGGAACTGCCTGTATTTTTCCTCAACAGTTTTGACTTTTTAAAGAAACACTTTCTATAGTCTTCAAGAAGCTATTGCAAGTGGAAGTTCTGAAAATATTTAAGCTATTATTGGGGAGGGGGGGGGAACCTGAAACTTCTCAGCTAATAGTTGATCAGTAATAACCAGTATATTTATTGTCAGGAGTTCTGTATTTTTTTGTCCTCTGAGAATCTCAGGGGGAATGCTGGTGAAATCACTGGAAGGTGAAGACTGAGTTTTTCAGCCTATTTTTGTATGCAACAGCTCTTTTGGGAATGGAGGGTTAGGAAAATAGATATATTAAATGTTTAGCAGTTATAAAAAGAACTGTGTAGACTACAAAAGTTTATGATGATGAATCACCTTTTATATGATTTTATTGATTGCTAACAGAAAAAAAGAAACATTAAGTGCCTTTAGAAGTTACCGTATTCTTATTGTTTAGTTTATGACCAGTTTTTACTTGAGTATCCAGGTTATGTGTGCTGAAACATCAAAGATTAGAGAAATAGAGACTGTGCAGTCTAGTCAAGGTTGCACATGGCTTCTTCTCATTTTTTTCTATTGCTCAGGAAACTTTATAAATCTAACTTGCTATCTTGTAGAATATTCTTGAAAAATATCCATTTTTTACATATCTATATCACATATATAAATATTAATCTGTTCACATAGACCTCTTTATTTTTGATTGGTTCTGCTCCTCTGCTGGTTCCACTGTGTTCTTGTCACCAGCTACGTTGCTTCATTGGATTGGGGTCAATTTAGAATCAATACATGTCCAGAAATCCAGTGTTGGAATTTTCATAACTCTGCTAGGTGTTCCTCCTATTCTAAACAACAGTTATTTATAAGGAGTGGCAGTTCTTTTTCCCAGACATAAAGCAATCACTTTTGCCTCAATGATAATTAAGTAAATGATAATTTAATGCAAAAATAATATAGAATGTGTAAAAATTCATAACATGAAATTTTTGAGTCAGTAAGACAGTTTTTGAGTAATGCATATTAACAATTCATGTATTTCCGTCCATGATTGATTGGGAGGGGGTGGGATTATATAGGCAGTGATAATTAGCTGCTGACAATCTTCATTCAGAAACAGGAAAATGGGCTGATTCATTTTAATCTGATTGCAATTTCTGTTGTGCTATGTACCATTCTAGTGATGCTCTTGCCACTACAGTGGTGAGGTCACCTGAGTTCCTTACACATTCAAGCACATGTCACAAGTAGCAGCCTGTAGAGGCAATAGAAAGAAAAGTTGCAGATGGTTGAGGGTATTTAACTTGAATAAGTGTTCTAAGATGCTAACAGTTTTTAAAAACTCAAGTACTAAAAATTAAAAAATGCAATTAAAGTACATTGAAGTGGAGAGGTAAATCTGCCTGTAAATGACTTTTTGGTTCCTGGATAACCTACTTAATTATTTCATATAATTCTTAAGTAAGATGAGAGATCAATTGAGTCCAAAGGAGCTAATCTGCAGAGTAAATTGGTTTAAGTTGTTAAAAGTAGTTTCCTTGTCAAAGATGTATTTTGTGCATGATTATTATATGGAAGCTTAAGCAGATCAGGAGAGGGGCTATTTCAGGACTTTAAAACTGCCTAGGGAAACCCCACAAACTTGTTTCCTCTGCAGATCATTGCTTTGCCTCCCAGGCAGAATTCTGTTCAAAATAAGCATCCCCAGTTTAAATGTTTTTGAGAAATAGTTTGTTTTTATTGAAATTGGGAGGGCTAACTACAGATTCCCTGGTATGAAATCAACTTAACTGATAAAAACAAATGTATTTTTGTTATTGTTTTTGTAGCCTGCTAACTCAACTCTTTTCCTGCTCTTTGTGGTTTTTCTCAGGCATCTGCTACACCAACCAATCAGGACATTTGCAGGTGAAATATTAACTGTGTCATTGCACTAAAACTGATGATAGTCACGGTGTCCGAAGTTATGCTATCTTACCGCTGATGATCCAGGAAATCTTGCAGGGCGAATAACAGTTGGTCTTCCAATAAGTAGCCACTTCTCTTATGTTTTCAAATTGCCATATTAAAATGTATTAGAAATCATTGGTAACATAATATTATATTTTTGTACAATAACTAGTTTTTCCCATAACAATAGCTCTGTAAGATGAGCTGAGAGAGAGTGCCTAACCTAGGGTCACCTTGGAAACTTCCACAGTGGACTAGAATGTGGATCTCCACAATCTGAGTCCAACACTTGTATCACTGCACCACAAAACATTTTGGATTCTACATAGCTGTTCCAACTATAGCAGAAGTGTTTTGAGCTCAAAATAGAGAGAAATATCACCAGAACATTTCTCACAAAGTTGGAACAACTAATTTGGAGCTTGAAACATGTTTCAAGTGTACTTATTTTACACATTACTATAAGCATACATAAAAATCAACAAATATAAGACGTTTTTGGTCGGAATACTTGATATTACAAGAATTAAAAATAAACCAAATGACTACACATACATTACTTTAATGCACATTGTGCAGGTTTCCAATATAGAGGTGGAATGGGGCAGAGGTGCATGGAGCATATTCTATGGTGGTGAGAACTGGTTCTCATAAGCTTGTCTTTTTTCTCAAGAGTCCATAATACCTAGAAAAAAGCATATAGGCAGGTGTGAAATTCAGCCAGTTCTATCCGGCTGGGGCGAACTGGTAGCAGTGGCTATGAGAGGCTCTGCCCACCTGTGCGGACATCATGATGTCGCTTTTTTGCGACATTTTAAGCCTCTGTGCATGCGCAGAAGGCTTTGCACATGTGCGGACAACAGCGCGCGTGAGCACATTTGCAAACCAGTAAGGAAGGTAAGTGAATTTCACCTCTGCACATAGGGCAGAGTTCAACAAATCCTGTCCAGCCATGCTATGCTGTATGCACATGTTTAAATGATCTTGGCATGTAATGCATTGTAGCACATGGATTATGCCACCATATTGACTGGCCTATTTAATTCTGCCTTTTGTATGTTTGTTATTTGCCTTCTTCATACTGGCTGAAAATGTCATTTCTTCAACAAATTGTATGTACTCTTTTTAATTTTTTTGTGCTTTTATTCCATTGTTCTGCATGCAGTTCCAGTGCAGTGTGTTCTGAATGTTGGCATCCCAGTCCAGTACAATCTGCTGTTATCTTGAAAAATCTTGTCTGCCAAAATGCTCTGACTCCAGGGGCCACTGTGACAGTAACCTGTCAGAATACGGTGCAGGCTTCCAAGGCAAACTCCCATGGGCATGAACGTGTCTATTCTCTCAAGTCTAAGAATGAAAAATTCAGCCATGCTCTGAAATTCTCCAAGTCTCTTAGTGATATGGATCAGAATACAATTGACAGATATAGCTGCATGGAAAGAACATGTTCAGAAGGCAGACTTACCAAAATGCAACAGCAGTGTTTAAGACTTAACATATGTCATAAGGAGAAGAAGCCATTCAGCTTCAGGCCCTTCACTGTTAGCAATTACAGACTTTCATATTTCTGGTCACTCTCGACCAATTACTCAAGCACTTCTCTGGCTACTGATTCTCATAATGCTGTACGTATTCCTCTCATGGAGGACAAGTATAGCAACGAAATCTCCCAGAGTAAAGATTTGTTGCAGTACCTTTTCTCTTTCTCTCATAGTTCCAAATCAAGCAGTCATGAACTGGATAACAAGTCAAGCTGTCTCCGGCCAGAGAAATCATCCAGTGGTATGGTAGAGAGCACAGGTTTCTGTTCAGATGATATGGGAGATGATGATGTCTTTGAGGACAATTCTGTGAGGCTGAAAATTACAGCACTGCGGGCACCACTCTGCTCATCTGAAAAGGATAGTGATCTAGACTGCCCTTCCCAATTGTCAGAAAATTTCCCTCCACTTTCCCCTGTTTCTGTGTCTGGAGATGTCTGCAGGTTGGTTTATGACAAACCACTTTCTCTGTCCCCTCCCAGGTCTATGGTAACTTGCTCTACTCTTTTCATTTTCTCAACCATTCACCAGTTCACACTGAGCTTTATTTTCTTCTGAACTTGTCAACTTTTTTGAATGTGCAAAGCATTTTGGTTTTTTTTCCTAATGCCATGCTAATCATGTATTTTCTTACATATGTTCCATTTATTGTATGTATAGGAAAAAAGGATATCTAGAATGAAGAAGTTTTTTCTTTCTTCCTGCAAGCTTTTTTAAAATACCTATCTCTGAGAAATATGTAGTGCTTCACATCTTGGAACAACCGAGTTGCTTGCCCCTGAAACAGATTTCAACTTCCCTGGTTCCAAGCACTCTTCAGTGCATAATTGCCTTTTCATCTTTGTGCACATCTCTTTCTTTTCCAAAACAGAACCTGCCTCAGGAAACAGCCTCTCCTGTTTCAGGTTAATACTCAACCAGAACAGGTACCCTGCTTGTCTGCATCATCTCCCAGAATTCTGGGGCTCTTGAGAAAGAGAGTGGCACTGATATAAACGTTTCCACTGAAAAGGACTTCCCTTGTACCCATAATCTTTCAGAGGTCATCCATGCATCTCACAGAATTTTCTACAATGTTACTACTCAAATTTTCGTGTTTCCACGAAAATAAGACCCCGTCTTATATGTTTTTGAACCCTGAAATAAGTGCTTGGCCTTATTGCCATGTGCTCAAAAGCCCGATTGGGCTTATTATCAGGGAATGTCTTATTTTGGGGGGAACAGGGTACTGTAATTAAGGACATTTGATACGATAGTGAGAAGTGCTATCCCACAATTTTGAATACCCATTTAACTTCCTCTGAAACTTCTGGTCGTGGGGATTTGTGGTTCACTATGGAATCATAGCTATACAAAACCTGTGCCAGAATTTTGTGCAAAAAGTCTTGGGCAAAGCAAGCTGAGATTGCTGCTTTTTAGTTGCTTTTGTGGCAGGAAGTTTATAAATGATTATCCCAGAAATTCCAAGGAAAATATTTTAAACACACTTCCATCAACATTTTAAAATGTGAAAATTCAATTTTCATGTTATTATAGATTATAATAGTGATTTAAAATAACTAATTTTCCATAACTTAAGCACATAATTGTCATTGATGAAGTGCAGCAGTAAGTAAAGCCCCGTTAGCCTTGTTGAAAAGCTAATAGCAATGTCCTTCTTTGTCCTTTCTCTTTTTTACAAATTTTTGTTTGATTGTTTTGGTCTTATAATTAGAAGCAAGAAATCAACATTTTACTTTAGTCTACTTGAATAGTTATTTCAGACTCTGAAATATGGTCACATATGATCTCAGATAATTTATTATTCTTTGATATTGTGCCTTTTTTCAAAAAGACATTTTTCTAGTTTAGACCATAGTTCTTTTCTTTCCCCTAATAAATTGCTATGTTCTTGTCATAGGATATGCCATTGTGAAGGAGATGATGAGAGCCCATTAATTACTCCCTGTCATTGTACAGGAAGCCTTAATTTTGTCCATCAAGCTTGTCTGCAGCAGTGGATCAAGAGCTCAGACACCCGTTGCTGTGAACTCTGCAAATATGAATTCATCATGGAGACCAAATTGAAACCTTTCAGAAAAGTAGGTCCTGGAATGATACTAGAGAGTCAAATATAATCATGAATTTCCTCTTTAGCACAGATTACTGCTATTTATACATTTAAAATTTGGATTACAATAGAAGAAGGTGCTGTTGTGAATCTTCACATTTAAAAAAGAATAAACCATTGTATTGTGAAGCAAAGTAGAACATTAAGAGGATCTCTGTGTTAAACTAATGCTTTTGAGTCCTAAGGATATTCTTTTTTAAAAGCATAAATGAGAGATAATAATTATCTCTGTTCATTTGAAAAGGTGACCATCTGCCCAGAAGAAAGAAGCAAGCTGAGGTGACAGTGACTGGGGGAAAAGTAAACAGAGTTTTGGGAGTAGTTGTATCTATTGCCTCCGATAAATAGCAATAGCACTTAGACTTATATACCACTTCACAGTACTTTATAGTTTTATAGAGTCAGCATATTGCCCCCAGCAATCTGGGTACTAGCTATTTTATGACTGGCCACATCACAGTTGCAGCAGTTTGTAAATTGGAAGGAGCTATTTGGGCATCAGGTCCAGCCTCTGCCTAGCGTAGATAATATCTGAGAGATAATCTTCTAGCCCTTGCTAGAGCAACAGAGAGAGCACCCACTGTTTTTTACAGTAGTTGTTAACAGACAGTTATAATAGCTAAAATGTTTTTCTCAGTGTCAGAGTTTTCTGCTTGTAGTGAAAATCTTTTATTTCACGTCCTGAGGCAGGAATGAAAAAGGATAATTACTAAATCATTTATATGTGTCATCATTTCTCTGCATATGAATGAAGTTATTTTTTCACAACTTCTTTTTCCAAGACTATGATTGATAAGAAACAATCATACCAGATGAATATTAACTATGATTAATAGAGCTTTTACTCTCACAATTAGCCTTTCATGATAGCTTTAAGGTATATTAATAAATGTATGCACATATTATGTGAATTCTGCATTGCTAGATTGTTATTTATTTCTAATTTGCATTTCTAAAGTTGCCACAAATCATTGGTGACTTTGCCTAATAAATTAAAAATAAAGCTTTAAACAAGCTCCAAAACAAAAGAAAGAAGATCATCCCAGTAGAACAAAACATCCACTATAACAACCTTGCGTAGGCAACTGCCATCCCATCTTAGTCCACAATCTGGGGAAAGACCCAGCTTTTCAAAGCACATTTAAAAGACAGCAGAATCAGTGTCAGGTCCCAGATATTTCTACAGGGACGCTGACATTTTGGTGTGAGGAAGGGTGGGGAGGAATGGAGTGGTCTGTATATGAAGTTTCTGTTTCTGTTTCCCTGCAATGATGTATTGTGGGAGGGGTTTGGTTAGCAGTGCTTTAAATAGCTGGTTTTAAATCAGAAGCTTCAGTTCTTGCCTAGATCTCTTGTTATCACAAACCTTCCAATAAAAGCTCCTTTTGGAACCACTGCAGTTTCGCGAGTCCTGCTTTCTTGGGAAGATTGGAGAGGCAAGACCTTACATTAGGCATTAGGCAACAAATGCAAACTGGTCAACCTGGACTCAGCCCTACCATGGGGACTGTGCACACCATGTCTGCCCAGGGCAGTGACCACGAAGAGGCTGAAGACTGGGGGAGAACCCCACCCCTTCAAAATCTCAGTTGAGGCCCTCAATGCCTGGGTTGAGCATTGCCTCAAGCACTGCTGTCAAGCTGAAGTGGTCTATCAGTTTGGGAAGAGGGAAGGCTGGGATTGCAGAACCAAAGATGTCACCCTCACCCATGGAAGCCAACAACCTGGTTGGAAGCAGGAGATAGGAGACCTTTATGACAATGATAAACTGGAAGGAGCCCCAGATCGGCCCAACCAACTCCTGAGGGAAGCCATCAACCTCATGAGGGAGGCCATCCATGGCATGCGGATCCAGGATGTCCAGGCTTGCACTGCAAGCCAGTTAGGAGTACAAAAGGGGACTACCGATGAACGAAAGAGATCCTCAATCCCAGGTGCATTGGCTGAAACCGTGGGGCTACTGATGAACCCATTTCCACCATGGAAGATCCGCCTAGGAAACATCTCAACACAAAGCAAGGTTTGCAACACGACGAGATGAGGCTTCCAAACTTAGAATGGAAGGCACCCCCTCTTGGCATCAAATTCGACGAGAATCCCTAGCAACTGGGATTTTTCCTCACACACGTAGTACCTACATGCAGGAGTATGGGAGGGATCTCCCTACAGAAGGTGCCAAAGTCAGGGTTGTCACCTTGGCTCGAGAAGGATCAGCTGCACATTGGATGGTGAGCCTCCATGATGCAGATGCATCGGAGCTCTGCAACTTCAACCATTTCATGACAGCCCTGAAATGGAGATTTGAGGACCCCCTAGCTGACTGCAAGGCTAGAGACCACATAAGGCACATCAGACAGGGACGCCATCCAGTCACCGAGTACATCGAAGAGTTTCATGATCTGACTTGCCACATAGATTGGCCAGAGGAAATACTCATGAGTTGGTTCAAAGATGGCTTAAACGATAACCTGTACAATGCCTGCATTGCCCGTGGAGTCCCAGTCTGCCTGCAAACTGGTGTGTCTTGGCTGAGGAAGCAGAAATCAACCAAGCTCAAAACCAGTACCGCTCAAACCATTTCTGGAAGAAATCCCCGCCAGAAGGGAGAAGGAAGGAAACCAAACCTCGCTCTGCCCCGCCACGCTCAGTCACCTGCTTCCATTGCGGGAAGGAAATCACCACGCAAAGTGGTATGTGAGAATGTCCACCTGAAAGGGAGAGAAGCAGGTTGGAGGGAAATCCTCAAAGCCACCACCATGTGCCAAAGATACCGCCCTGAAGACCCATGCGGTCATTGAGTTCCCGCCGGAATCAATTACGGTGCGAGGAACTCTGACCCCTCCAGTGGTGAAAGCTAGTCAGTCGGAGAGTGACTACGAAGACCCATTGGTGAGTGGGGTTGCTGAACCCTTTACAACCCCCAGAGAACCCTTAATGGGGAGAAAAGTGAGACTTAAGGCATTGCTACATTCGGGGTGCACGGGAAACCTAATAAGCCCCACTCTGGTCAGGGAACTGGGCATTCAACTAAAGCCACTAAAAACCCATCTTGTTCTGCCAACTTGATGGGTCCAAATGTCCTGGCCACGTTTACCACTGAATCACTCGAACTAACGATGGTAAATTACTTGGAAACCATTGCTTTCATTGTGACACCAGGGATGGACTGATCCCTAGTTCTGGGACTAACCTGGTTATAGACGTGGAATCCAAGGGTGGATTGGACAGAGAGGACCCTCCAATTCCCTAATGATGAATTAATTTGGAATGAGGAACCCCACCAGACTGAAATACCAGAGTGAGGAGGTAGCTGCGGCTGCGGCAAATGGAGTCCCTACCAGAAGTCTCCAGGGAATACTGGGATTTGATGGATATTTTCAACGAAGTGGCCTCAGATGAACTTCCCCCTCATAGGTCTACGGATTGCGCCATCAAGATTTTACTGGGGGCCAAACTACCTAAGCCAAAATTTTACGCTATGACTCCCTGGGAACTGGATGAATTGTAGCAATTCATTGACAAAAACCTTGAGCATGGGTTCATTGAATCGGCAAGACCCAAGGTGATTGCCCCTGTCCTGTTCTGGGAGAAGGACGGCTTGTTACGTTTATGTGTAGATTATAGGAATTTAAATGCTATTTGCAAGGAAAATCTTTATCCCCTACCCTTAATGAAGGACATGCTGGCCCATCTGACGAAGGGGAGATTTTTTTCTAAACTAGACTTGTGGGAGACTTATTACTGGATCAGGATCCGAGAAGGGGAAAAATGGAAAACAACGTTTAATTGTCCACTTGGATGTTTTCAGTTCAAGGTTTTGCCATTTGGACTCCAAAGAGCTCCCACCGTTTTCATGCAGCTAATTAACAAGGTGCTGCAGGGACACTTGTATAAGGGAGTTTTGGTTTATCTTGATGATATCTTGATTTATATTGAAACTAACACACAACATGTTAAATTGGTGCAGGAGGTTTTGAAGAAATTAAGGGCAGCTAAGTTGTTTGCCAAACTCTCCAAATGTTATTTTCACCAAGATAGATTACCTAGGATGCAGAATCTCTCACCATGGGGTGGAAATGGACTCCACAGAAGTCAGAGCAATCCTCGAGTGGGAAATCCCCCGAACTCGCAAACAATTGCAGAGCTTCCTGGGGTTCACTAACTTTTATAGGCAGTTTATCCCCTCTTTTGCCCAAATAGCATTGCCAATTACAAATCTGTTAAAAACCAAGGGGGTAGATAAACCAAAACATAGCCAACCACTGAATCGGACTATATACTGCCAAGCAGCATTTGAAAAACTGAAAAAACTATTCAGCTGAATCTGTATTAAAACACCCAGTCCCAGAAAAACCATTTGTAATGCAGGCTGATGCCAGCGATGTGGCAGTTGGTGCTGTTTTACTCCAAGAGAATGAAGAAGGCAAATTACAACCATGTGCATACACCTTTAGGAAGTTAACTGAAACTGAACAGAGATGGGCAATATGGGAAAAGGAGTTGCAGTTAGGTGGGCACTCCTAACTTGGAGACATTTCTTAGAAGGAAGTAAAATGCCTTTCCAAGTATGGACTGACCACAAGAATTTGGAAGCACTCAAAATCCCACAGAAAACATCTCCAAAACAAGTCCGGTGGGCACAGTACTTCCAACGGTTTAATTTCACTTTGAAGTATTTACCGGGAGGGAAAAACTTTTTGGCAGATGCCTCATCCAGACTACCACAATACAACAGTGTCAAGGTGGAAGTAATTAAGCCCATGATCCCAACCTTCCAATTAGCAGCTAAGGTCGTTACACCCTCTCAGGTGAAGAACGACCCTTCCATTTTAGACAATGCCACTACCACAGATTTCAAAAAAGCCTTAGAAATGGATGAGTTGGTTGAGTGCCAATAAACATACTTGCATAATAAAAGAGGGGTTAACTTGGGTGGGAAATAAGCTATATGTCCAGCTAGGAAAAGGCTGA